ACTATATAAATAAAAAATTAATGTATAATGATATGATTGATTATGAACTTTTCACCTTAAAACAAAGCGCCATTAAAGATAAATTTATTTACAATAATTGTATTGTCATATCATTCTTGTTAAATCTTTTGTATAAATTTTATACATATATAGAATTATTTATTTATTTATTTATTTTTGACAAATACCTTAAAATTATTGAAATGGAATTGAAGTAGCCTCCGTTTGGGAAGTGGGTTGGCTTTTTGACTTTTTGACTTTTTGATTTTTTTGGCTATTTTAGCCTGGGCTTAAAAGCTTAGTTTGGGAAGGATTTTTTGGCTTTTTTAAGTTTTTTTGTGAGAGAAGAATATAATGATTATGGGTTAGATGTGATGTTTTGTTTGTTATGACTAAAATAGCCTATTTTATTTTTTGTGGTTAAAATAACCAAAAAAAACCTGCAAACTCACTTGCCACACACAGGCTAAGTGGGTGGATGTCCATTAAAAGTGACGGAACAAGGTGTATACTACCAGAGTCTACACATAAGTGTTAGTGAAGCGTGATTAAATTTAAATACAAAGAAGATTTTTTAGAATATGATATAGATGTAAATTTAACTCACATTAAATGTGTGTAAATCTCACATTTATATTTTATTCTATAAAAAAAAAATTTGTGTTGAACGCACTATTATTACAACCCATTTAAAGAAAATTTTCAAAATATTTATAAATGTATTTTACATGCACATTAGATTAATATATACCATCATTTTAATGATAATTTATAGATACGGAAATATATAGATACAGGCATTGAAGTCACCTGCAAAGCTTTTTTGAGATTGTTTTTTTGGCAAAGGGTAAATGGAAAAAGATGGGCCCACTTTTTGTGAAAACCATTGTGTGATAGTTTGTGCCTCTCTCTCCCTCTCTCCTCTCCTTTGTAGCTTTGTGGTGATGATTCTGGGGTGGGGTGGGGTGGGGTGGTTATTTACTCATTTGAGGCCAGTCTACGTCCTACTCAAAATGAAGCGTCTTTGCCCAATTTTAATAAGATAGTTAAAAGTTAATGTTTTTTTAATTTTTTTTTAAAATTATATTATCATTTTATTTTATTTTATATGTTTTTTAAAAAAAAAAAAATTAAAAATGAACTTTTGGCTAACTTCTTAAAATAATCTTTTGTTTTCAACAACGTTATAGTTTGTAAAATTTCATTAAAATATGAGTTGAAACAATAAGATGTATTAATAAATTTACTACATCTTCTGCTGGTGATGTAAATAAATTATCAAATTAAAATTATTTACAATTCATATTAGTTATGTTTCATAGTTGTATTAGTTACGATTTTGGAATGACAACTTCCATTATGATCACACCAATTTTTGATAATACTAAAGCGATGTCGATTACGGCCAAGTGCGATGCGACTATAATCAATGGGGGTAAGAGGTCCATGCAGTAGGAAGTTGTTATGCCCCTTAGTGGACTCTATCTAAAATTTACCTTAACTATATGAACTATTTATATTATAAGATTCATTGTGAAGATTATTTATATAAAAAATTAGAGTTAGTTACATGTAGGTCTTAATAAGTAAACTTATTATCTAATAGATTTTATGGAAAAAATTTGTCATAAAAAACGCCACTAATTATAAGTTTTAGTGACAATTTATAAAAATCATGACAAAAAAGTCACTAATTATCACTTTTTAGCGACATAAAAAATTGTCATAAAAAAATTATTTTTAGCGAAAATTTTGCCAAGACTTATTTTCAATATAACTTTATGAGAATTAAATCCAACTACTAGGACCTATTGGTAGTCTATCCAAAAAATTATGCATATCAAATAACAAAGATAAAATCAAATTTATCAGTAGTCATATAATCAATTATTTTTGTTTTAAAAAATATGAACGTTTTATTCTCAAAATTATATTTGCCGTTCATATCTTTCAACATAAATTTGATCCGATCATATGATTATTGATATTCAATTTATTTGTTCTTTTTTTTTTTACATGAATAATCTTCTTGGTGATATTTAAAATATAAATAGTTCATATCGTTGAGAAGAGTTCAATGTAGAACCCCCCAAGAGGCAAAGTACCCCAATGGCTCAGATTCAATTTTATAGATGCAACGATTGAAGTAAAAGTGCATATGGTAGGCGCTTCTGTTTTTTTCAGAAAAAAAAAAGGGGAAAGAAACGATAGAAGCAAAAAAAAAAAACTTCATGAGATGATGGCTTTGTCTTTGTCCCTCCCCACATCAAAACACTCTTGTGTGTGGGTGTTTTGGAATTATTGTGGTTGAGGTTGGATTCTAGTGTTTTAGGTTTGTTCTGTGAGTTGCCAAAGCCAAAAGCAAGCAGGACACAGTTGTAGCTTTGTTTTCTTTTGTTATAAATGATGCATATATATGTATGTGTAGGTCAGTGTTAATGCATATAACAACTGCTTTTATGAATGGAATTCAATTCATGATGTGGTTTGAACAAGTCCAAACATTGATCAACTGGACTGCTGGCCCATTTGTGGCCTTTGTGGTGCCAGGGCTCCCACCATGATGAAGATGATCATAGACATGTTTACAAGATATAATTAACTAGTAAAAGATTAATTATTTTCGACAATGAAAGATTAATTAATTAAACATCACTCGTAATCTTGAGAAATTATGCTATTAATTATGCTCTTTTTTGTTACTAAGAATTATATCAATATGCTATCAGTAGGCACTCGACGTGTAATCAACCAAACTAATCAGATAATTTCTTCAATTTAGGCTTGGTTTGGGAAATGGGTTGGCTTTTTGACTTTTTAGCTTTTTTGGCTATTTTAGCCTGGGCTAAAAAGCTTGGTTTGGAAAGGGCTTTTTGGCTTTTTGGCTTTTTTGACTTTTTTTGTGAGAGAAGAATGTAATGATTATGGGTTGGATGTGATGTTTTGTTTGTTATGGCTAAAATAGCCTATTTTGTTTTTTGTGGCTAAAATAGCCAAAAAAGCCTGGAAACTAACTTGCCAAACAGAGGCTTAATAGATTTACACTGATTGAAACCTGTGGAAGTGTGGTGCCTATCTAAATTATTGGTAGAAGGGATAATGATATCAAAAAGTCACCAAAGTAGCAGTTGTTAAGCTTTCAAGTCACCTCCAAAACTTCCTCAGATTAATTTGGCAAAAAGATATATATGCAACAAAAGGGTCCCACTGATTTATAGACTTTTTAACCTATCATCTTTGTGTCTTTGTTCAACAAATTGTGGTGAAAGAGCTTACCATGTCGTGTGGTCATGAGTCATGTCCCTGTTGGGCTTTCTAGACACATCTATTTCCCCAAAGTCAAGATGTACTGATCTTATTTCAGGAAATATATAAAAGCTTTGTGGCTAATCCTTGAAAGATATTGTATTTTTTTATATCCAACTAGGAATTGATCGCAAAATAATCAAGCAATCTACATCTACACCTACACCTGCACAGTTTGACTTTATGAGAACAATACAAGAATTTACCATTCCAATTTTTTAATCTGTTTTGTTCTGTTTACTTATTCTTTTCTTTTTTTTTTCATTTTGTGTTTTTGGAAGAAAAACAATAAAAAGTTTGAAAACACTGATCGTTCATCATATTGTGCGGAAAGGGGAAAAAAACAAGAAAAAGAAAGAACACAACCAAAAATGTCAGACTAGATCAAATGGCATCCACATGCATATGGTCATACTTCAAAATCTCTTCACAAGGTTTGCCTAAAGCATCATAACTATAGCACCAATATATGCATATATATATATTATAAAAAAGTTGATATGGGCATTAGTCTCATATTTTTATAGGCCTTTATGACTATTTGATTCTGAGGCAGTTTGGTATTGTTTTCAACTTAAGGCTCCAGAAACCACCTAAAGAGATGAAAAGTGATTACTACTGACATACAGTTCTATAGTCTCTATACACAGCTCTATGGTCTCTTTTCGAAAGGTCTATCGCATCTTACTCGATCCTAAACTTCAAATTTTTTCTTTCTTGTGATAGGTAACTCCAAGATTGTATACTAGAGGTCACTAACTGCCATGCTGTACCATTATCAAATTTCCTAAAATGGGCTGTGGTATGTCATTATGTATATTTCAAGTCAAAATGAAAATCAATCAACTCGCACTAGAGCAAAATGGCAAAAAATGATTCATATGACTGACCCTATGTGGCTTAGTTTAGTTAGGTATTTTAACTGATACCTGTAGTTTGTAAGTAAATTGTAGGTATCCCATACGCAACCGAAAATGTAAGCATGCAGGAGAGCTCAAAATGGTCACCAAGCAACCAGTTTAATTTAAGATTTTTGTCAATTTGCTTCTCAAAAGGGCTTTTCACTCTTCAAAATAGCTTATGATATACGGTCAATGTCCTATCATGAATGCTGTCTTTTGAATAATGAAGCAACTCTTTCAAAATCTCAAATTAATCTCTTGAATCATATCTTATTATACCTCAGTTTTCTGCATGGTTCCAATATACCTCATACACTTGTTCAATTGAAAGGGTCAAGATACATCTATTTTGCTGACTAAAAATTCATTGACCATAGTACATAACTCTCCCAACATACCTCATACACTACTTGTTCAGTTGAAAGGGTCAGAAGATATGTACTTCAGTCACTAAAATATTTTAGTTTTGACGAGCAATTTATGAAAAAACAAAAATCCGGATTAACCATAATTCAACTAATAGAAACAAAAAAGATGGGGATACATTCAAAACCAGCCATATATGTCTCCCTCATACACGTCCCGGTCATGTAGACTCGACTCACCGCCTCATCAGAAGATGTTTTTGTCAAATATGAAGACATTATTTCGTTTTGACCGGTCAGTTAATGAAGTCACTAGAAGAGGGGCGCCTTGGGAATAAAGTCAAGACTAGATAAGATTGAGAAGTGGAACATTGACAATAGCTTCAAGAGGTTTACCCGTTATAGTCCACGACGCTTAGTCCAAATCTTCGTAAGCAATAGAGATTTCTAATTGAATAAAAATATCTGAGTACATAAGCTACATTTGGGCAGATGTAACAAAAAGGACAAAATTACAATGCATAAGATACCTTAGAACCTAAAGTAGGTTGAGTTTTAAGATTGCCGGAAAAAAGATCTGACTATTGAACACAAAAAACAGGGCGGGCTCAAGATTAATTTCTATAAATTTTTTTACTAACAGCAGTAGAAGAAGCAATCTAAATAACATTAATATGGGCCCAAACAAGACTTGGAACTAGAACACACAATACATGTTCTTATGGGACATTCATAACTTGAATGGATTGCAACATATCAGAGACAGCAATGACAAGATCACCTGATTTGATCATTCCCCGGGACTTGAGCAAGGAGAAAGTTCTGTTTAGGTTGCTTTCCATGTCATCGGAGAAGTTCAGGCGGAAAGGTATAAGACCCCACTGCAGGTTCAGACGCCTCCGTACAGATGTTGTGGTTGTGAAAGCAAAGATTGGGCAGTCAGGTCGGCAACGTGAAAGGAGAGATGCCATGTGTCCTGCCTTTGTGTAAACAAAGAGTGCATCCACCTCCAAATTGTTAGCTGAAAATTAAAACCCATATTAGTTATTAACAAGGTCTTCAAACCTATAAAAAAAAAGGTACAGTTTCAGATTCACTGGCAGGTTTGAGATGGATAGTGCATGTGCCTAGCAAAAATTAAGAAAGAAAGGGTAATGTGTGTATGAGGGGCAGAGAAAGAGTGAGGGGCTCAACATTACAAATTGATACCACCATCAAAGGGAAATAATAAAAGCATAACATAAGCACAGAGCAAGAGGGCACTTGGACATTAAATCGGTCCTTCATGTTTTATACAGCATGATAATGCAAAATTTTGAACAGGACCACAAGTACATGGCCATATTCAAAAAATAAAATGAGGTCATTACTGATATCCTACAAAACCCTTTTTACAGTACTTCCAAAAACAAATAAAAGGAAAAGAAATTAGAGAAGCAGCAACTCAACAATGGACCCATGCCATCTTCAGGAGACATCTAAACATCCCTCAAGAAAGGAAAGAATATGATGACAATGATGATGAATAGGTTAAGCAGAGAATAATTACAATATTGACAATAGTAATAGAAAAAACAATTGGTTTTAGAAAGTAACATATATGCCTAGAGGATTTGGAGATAATGTTTGGGCCTTCAAACAATGGGATAATTGCATTGCTTACTGTAATATTGAGAAAATAAATATCAACTCATGATCGAACCACCATCTAATGGAATACGAGCAAAATATATAAATGAATAATCATAGACAAAAATTCTCTTATGCAATTTTATCTATAAAATCTGCAATTTTAATTTCATTTAGGCCGTGTTTGAATTATGGATTTGGGTAAGGATTTGTGGAGGAAAAGAAAAGGGAAGGGGGGAAATGTGAGGGAAATGGAGAAAGAATTAGCTTAGATTTCATTCACATTTCCCTCTCCATTTCTGTTCCCTTCCCAAATTCAAGATCCAAACACATCCTTAAGCAAATGTGTTTAAACCCAAGTCCACTCTGCCTTTATTTGAAAGTGTCTATCACATAAGAGTTATACAAGTAATTACATTCATGTTTTCTTAATCTTGCCCATTATAGGGGCATAAAATAAAACTTGTATGACCTAATTTTTCAGCAGAATTTTAGCAAAATTTTAGTATAAAACTTCTTACCCATCTCAGCAGCAGAATTGCAAATCTCCTCTGAAATACTGTCCGCAAAAGAAGATGCTATAACTGGTAGTTCCATAGCTTCATAGCGTTTCTCTTCCCTCCACCACCTCTCAATTCTCAAACTAACACTTCTCAAAACTGTCAATGCCTTCTCAGGGAACTGGCCCATTGCTGACTCACTTGAGAGCATTAAAGCATCTGCTCGTTGCCTAACTGCTTCAGAAACGTCAGCCACTTCAGCCCTTGTGGGCGTGGGGTACTCAATCATAGATTCAAGCAGTTGAGAAGCAACAATAACAGGCTTATTTAGTTCCCTGCACAGCTGAACAATCTTTTGCTGGGCTGAGGGAACCTGTTCTAGTGGAATCTGGGCACCCAGATCACCTCTTGCTACCATAACTCCATCTGATGCTTGAATGATCTCCTCTAAGTTCTGCAACGAGTCAATACTCTCTATCTTTGCAATAACTGCAACATCACTGCATCATCACAAAATTTATTTTAAATTCTTAGCAAATGCAACAAGGGAATGAAAGTAAATTTATGATCTCCCACTATTATGTGAGCCAACATTTGGGTAATTTCTAAGCAATGGGAAGAAACCAGCCTTGACAACTGGGTGCATCAGGCCATAGCCCAATTAATGTGAGTGCAGATTGGATGGATGAGAGATCATGTGTAGAAGTTATTGTAGAGAAGTTTCTATCGAAAAGAGAATGATGGAGAGAAAAAAATGTGGGGAACAAAAGGAACCACTATCAGGTGTCATAACAAATGGCTTATAGAGAATAGACATATTCATAAAGTTCTTACCCATCACGAGACCGTGCTTTAATATAACTTTTCAGATGATTAATCACTTCAGCCGACTTGACAAATGATATTGCAATAAAATCAACGTTCTCTGTGATCCCAAAATCAATGTCCAACCAATCCTGGAAATACAGAGTACTTGATGTTAATTTTTTAGCATGTTATCAAAATACCCTAGCAACAAAGCACTGATCTAGCATAATAAAAAAGGGCAACCCAGCGTACAAGTTTCCTGCTAAAGCACTGATCTATCATAAATGCCACAAATAAAACACACCATATGAATGTAATCACATAAATGCCTACAAACATACAGAAATGCACCTAGAATATATGTTTATAGACTTATTCAGTACCAAATCCCAAGGCACTTTAAAATAGAGCTTTGACATCACTGCCAGTCTACACAGTTAAATTGAGATAAATTTCAAAACCCTAACACCCTTTGAACGGGAACAAACCCAATTACTGTTTCTCAATGTATTTAAGTTTTTCATGTCAAATATTGCCAAGCACTCAGTTTTTAACTGCACTCACAAATTTCAGGGAAAAAAAAAACATTAATTCAATGATATTACACAAACATGTTGGGGGACAAAACCTCAAATGGCCTACTCCATACCCTTCGGGGGTCTACAAGAGGATGCCTTGGAAAAAGGTCCCTCACTACTGACAGAATTTTTACATTCAATAACTTAACCCTTGGGTGCTACATGGGATCTTAAACCCTTCCCCATCCCACTCGGTCCAGTCCAAAACTCCTTTTTCGTGATTTCCAAAAGTGACAAAAAAACAATACAAGAAAGGAGTGCAGGATTGGTGTGGGTCACACACAGGTTGCCCCAACTCCCAACTCAACTAGAGAGTGAATTGGCTCCCTGTGTTGATGATATACTAGTTGATTCAAGAATTGGTTAATTTATGTGATAAGATTTGTTCTGTTAGGCAGTTGTGGGTTTGTTCTGTTAGGAGGTTGTAGGGTCGTCTACGAAGCACAGACACCTCTCCGAGGACTTTGTACCAGTGCCGGATATGTGTCGGACACGGACACGCGGTAGACGTGTGTCCGACACACACCAGAGAGTGTACTAAATTTTTTTTTTTTGAAGCCGAACACGTTCCGACACTAGCGGGACACGTTCGGGGGTCAATTTCAGAAATATACTAGTTGATTCAAGAATTGGCTAATTTATGTGATAAGATTTGTTCTGTTAGGCAGTTGTGGGTTTGTTCTGTTAGGAGGTTGTAGGGTCGTCTATGAAGCACAGACACCTCTCCGAGGACTTTGTACCAGTGCCGGATATGTGTCGGACACGGACACGCGGTAGACGTGTGTCCGACACACACCAGAGAGTGTACTAAATTTTTTTTTTTTGAAGCCGAACACGTTCCGACACTAGCGGGACACGTTCGGGGGTCAATTTCAGAATTTATAAAACATCTTTGGGGTCAATTTGTCAAAAAACAAAACCATATTTGCCCTAAATTGAGTCAGAAACAGAAGAGAAAGAGAGAAAGAAGAGAACAAAAGAGAGAGAGAAGATGAAGAGAACAGAAGAGAAAGAGAGACCTGATCGATTTTCAGTGGTCGGTCGTCGCTCCTCGTCGTCTGTCGCTCGTCGTTCGTAGATCGTTATCTAAGGTACACCTTCGCTGATCTTCTTCGTCCTTCTTCTGCTTCGTTCTTCTTCGTTCTTCCTCTGGTTCGATTTTCAATCTTCTTCGTCTCAGTCGATGTCTCCCTCTCTCTATCTGAGTCACCCTCTCTCTGTCTCATTTTATTTCTTTGTTTTCTTTTATTTTTTCATTTATATGCTGATAGTCTCTCTCTCTCTCTCTCCGTCTTCTTTTTTTTTTTTTCCTAATTTCATTTTATATTTTCTTTTCTTTCTCTTTGCCTCTCATTTCAGTATATACTCTTTTTTTTATTATTAGTTTTGTTAATTTTAATAATGTGTGTTTATTAATTTTATTGTAGGAACAAATTTTTAAATAATGTGTTTATTAATTTTAATAATTTTATGACATAATAAGTAAAATTAATTATATATATTGAACGTGTCCCCTGTGTGTCGTGTCTCCCATTTTTTAAAAATTTGCGTGTCCGCATGTCCGTGTCGTGTCGCGTATCTGTGTCCGTGCTTCATAGGGGGTCGTTATTCTGCTACGGGATTTGTTACAGGAAAAGGGGATTATAAAGAGGGGAGGGAGTTACAGATAGGGGGGTGGGTTGTATTCCTTTTTCTTTTTCTCTCTTGTTGTAAAACTCCATGGAAGAGTTCTTCCTTTCGTTTGATGAGAATTGAATAACAAAAGCTGAGTTCTTTTCTAATTTCTGAGATTATTTGCTAGAAGCTTATCAGTGGTATCAGAGCTACCGTTCTTCGGATTTGGGGCAAACCACTTCAGTAATGGTAGACGGTACACGATCTCAGGATATCAGACGAATCGAGGATGCTATTTGGCATCTAAAAGAAAGCTCGGATAAACAGGCCAAAACCATGGCCGGATTTGGTTTCAACTTTGAACCTGAAGTACGAGCAAATCGCAGAAAAGGTGAGTTCTTCTTCTTCGATTCCTCCGATCATTCCTACACAAGAACCCACCAATAATCCAAATCAGTGGCACACTAGATTTGCCAAATTGGATTTTCCAAAAAATTTCGGTGAAGACCCTGAGGCTTGGGTATACAAATGTGAGAAGTTTTTCGAATTTAATCCGATCGATGAAACACAAAAAGTGTGATTAGCTTCAATACGCATGGAGGATTGGGCTATTCATTGGTTTCGATGGTATGACAAGTCCCATGTTCTCAGCTATTGGAGGAAATTTGTTGGGGCCTTGGTTGATAGATTTGGAGATAGCCTATTTGATGATGCTACGGGACAACTATCGAAATTGAGACAGATATCAACAATCCAAATCTACCAGGAGAAATTCGAAGAATTGGCTAATAAAACAAATGGATTATCAAAAGAATTCTTTGTTAGTTGTTTTCTGAGTGGCTTGAAAGATGAAATCAAGGCAAGAGTACAGATGTTTAGACCAAGAAATGTGTCACAAGCCATGGGTTTAGCAAGGTAACAGGAAGACAAAATTAAGGCCTTAGCCAAAAAGAATAGGGTTTATTCCAAAAGCAAAATTTATAATACCAGTTTCCCTACAAGTAGCAAATCAATGGAGCCAGCTCCAAAACCTGTGGAGTCAGTAACTGCTGTAAAGAAAATGACACAGAAGGAATTGGAGGAGAGAAGAATGAAAGGATTATGTTATGGATGTGATGCGAGATATTTCAGAGGCCATGTTTGCAAGAAGAAGCAACTCTTTATGCTCAAAGCTGAGGATAAGGAAGATGTCTTTGAGGATGTGGTGCAGGACATGGACAAAGAAAATGTGCAAGAAGAATTGCAAATCTTAGTTCATGTCCTTTCAAGTTCTTTCTCTTATAAGACTATGAGAATTAAGGGAAAGGTTAAGAATAATATGGTCACTATATTAATTGATTTCGGTAGTACCCACAATTTTTTGGACCCAGTAATGGCAAAACGAACTGGAGCATCAATCCAATTCACCAATCCTTTAACAATGGTGGTAGCTGATGGTACCAAGTTACAAAGCAATGCTATGGTGAAGGATTTCCAATGGGTTATGCAGGGTACAACTTTTACAGCTGACATGAGATTATTACCTTTGGGGGTTGTGACATGGTATTAAGAGTCCAGTGGTTATCTACTTTGGGACCGGTGTTATGAGATTTCCAGAATTTGAGGATGGAATTCATTGCATTTGGCAAAAAACATGTGTTGAGAGGTGGTGCAACAAATACAACAAATTGAAGTCAAGGCAATGGAGAAGTTGATGCAGAAAAAACCACAGGGAATCATAGCTCACCTTTGCAGCCTACATTTTAGTTATGCTGAAGTTGACCACAAGGTTCATTCGGATCTTGATAGAATCTTACATGGTCATGATGATGTGTTTCAAGAACCCAATGACTTACCTCCAATTAGATCACATGATCACAAAATACCTCTCAAGGATGGTAGTCATCCCCAAATATCAGGCCTTATAGATACCCTTATATTCAGAAGAATGAGATTGAGAAAATAGTAAAGGAGATGCTAACTTCAGGGGTTATTAGGCATAGTGTGTCTCCTTTTTCTTCACCAGTCCTTTTGGTCAAGAAGGACAACACTTGGTGAATGAGTATTGACTACAGAGCTTTAAATAAGGACACTATCAAGGACAAATACCCTATTCCCATGATTGATGAATTACTTGATGAGTTGCATGGAGCTCAATTTAAGATCTGGGTACCATCAAATATGGATGCATGCTCCTGACATTGAAAAAACAGCTTTTCGAACGCATGAAGGCCACTATGAGTTTTTGGTCATGCCATTTGGCTTGACCAATGCTCCATCCACCTTTCAAAGTCTTATGAATGATGTGTTTAGGCCATTGTTGAAGAAGTTCGTGTTAGTATTATTTGATGATATCCTCATATACAGTAAGAGTTGGGCTGAACATATGTCTCATGTGACCTTGACCTTGGAAAAATTGAGAATCCATCAACTGTATGCCAAGATGTCCAAGTGTGCTTTTGGAAAGCAGCAAGTGGAGTATTTGGGGCATATTATTTCTGGTTCTGGTGTGGCTGCAAACCCTATTAAAATAGATGCTATGTCCACTTGGCCTAGACCTCAATCTTTGAAAGCTCTTCGCGGATTTTTGGATTTGACTGGCTATTACTGAAGGTTCATAAAAGACTATGCCAAGATCAGCCAACCCCTTACTACATTACTGAAAAAGGATGCCTTTAAATGGTCTGAGGATGCTGAACAAGCTTTCGTCCTATTGAAAAGAATTATGACTACTGCTCATATATTGGCTTTACCCAATTATGATAAAACCTTTATGCTGGCATGTTACGCTTCTGATAAGGGGTTGGGAGCTGTATTGATGCAGGAGGGACAACCCATAGCCTATTTTAGTAAGTCATTGTTTGCCAGAAGCTTTGGGTTATCTACATATGCGAAGGAATTCTTGGCTGTAGTTCTAGCTGTTACCAAATGGAGGTATTACCTTTTGGGTAGGCATTTCCACATTAGGACCGATCACC